ACAGTCTAAGCGCCGAAGAAGCCAACCGCGGCCGGGAGCCGGGCCCCAAGGCTTCTCTAGCGAGATTGCATTGGAGAGTCGATCCGACGAAGTCATCAAGGCGGTTGACAGGATATTCACAAACACGGGTAACCTCAATGGAGAGGCTATCGTTCACTTCGCCCGAGCTTTGACGGAAGTCAGCTGGGATGAAATCAAGGTGTCTGGGTCGAACGACTCCCCACGTACCTACAGCCTGCAGAAGATTGTCGAGATCGCCTACTACAACATGACGCGTGTGCGTTTCGAGTGGAGCAATATCTGGGATGTTATGGGTGACCACTTCAACCGCGTCGGCTGCCACAACAACATCACCATCGTATTCTTCGCCCTGGACTCTCTACGCCAACTCTCCATGCGTTTCATGGAACTCGAGGAGCTGGCTGGTTTCAAATTCCAAAAGGACTTCTTGAAGCCATTCGAACATGTTCTGGCCAACTCCACAAACATTGCTGTCAAGGACATGGTGCTCAGATGCTTGATCCAAATGATTCAAGCTCGGGGCGATAATATCCGCTCTGGCTGGAGAACAATGTTTGGTGTCTTCACCGTCGCTGCGCGTGAGACCAACGAAAGCATTGTGAGCCTTGCCTATGAGAATGTCACACAGGTTTACAGGACCAAGTTTGGCGTGGTCATTTCACAGGGTGCTTTTACCGACCTGATTGTTTGTCTTACCGAGTTCTCAAAGAACATGAAGTTCCAAAAGAAGAGTCTCCAAGCGCTGGAGTCGCTCAAGTCCATCATCCCTCGCATGCTCAAAACACCAGAATGTCCTTTGTCTCAAAAAGGACAGTCAGCGACCGGCGACATCCACACTTCAGCAGCAGACACACTGCAAAGATCCCAGAACCGCACGTCAGTGGAAGAAGGCTATTGGTTCCCAGTCCTGTTTGCCTTCCATGACGTGTTGATGACTGGCGAGGATCTCGAGGTCCGGTCCAACGCTCTCGAGTACTTCTTCGACGCCTTGCTGAGATATGGAGGCGAGTTCCCACCTGATTTCTGGGACATTCTCTGGCGCCAGCAGCTGTACCCCATCTTCATGGTGCTGCGGTCCAGGCCTGACCTCAACAATGCGCTAAACCATGAGGAGCTGTCCGTCTGGCTATCCACCACCATGATCCAGGCTCTCCGAAACATGATCACGTTATTTACGCACTACTTCGAAGCCTTGGAGTACATGCTGGACCGATTCTTGGAGTTGCTAGCTCTTTGTATTTGCCAAGAGAACGACACCATTTCCAGAATTGGCAGCAACTGCTTGCAGCAGCTCATCCTGAAGAACGTCGCGAAATTTTCGCATGAGCACTGGACCAAGATCGTCGGTGCCTTTTGCGAACTGTTTGCTCGTACAACAGCTCACCAGCTCTTCTCCGCCACTACCATCAACTCAACAGCTTCAATCGATCTGCCCCCGAACGGCCTCGAGTTTGCCGGTCCTCTCAGTCCTACTGCTGATACCACTCCGGTCGACGAGGAGTCATTGAAGATCAATGGCTCTGAGAAGAACGGCGACGACGCTGACACGAACTCACTAGCAGCCCACGCCGGTACGGTAGAAGAAGACGACCTCAAGACCCCGACAGCAGCGGCTCCACCCCAGGCCCAAGCACCGTTGGAGGAGTTCAAGCCCTCATCAAACCTTCAGCAACAGCCCGTGGTCGTTACAGCCGCCCGCCGGCGCTACTTCAACCGTATCATCTCGCGATGCGTTCTTCAGCTGCTCATGATCGAGACGGTCAACGAGCTCTTTAGTAACGACACTGTCTACTCCCAGATCCCCACGGCGGAACTACTCAAGCTCATGGGGCTGCTTAAGAAGTCTTACCTGTTTGCCAGGAAGTTCAACGCCGACAAGGAGCTGCGGATGCGCCTCTGGCGCGAAGGTTTTATGAAGCAGGCCCCGAATCTGCTCAAGCAGGAGAGCGGTGCCGCCGCTACTTACGTCGCCATCCTCTTCCGCATGTATGCAGATGACAGCGACGAGCGCGCTTCGGCGCGCGATGCGATCGAGCAGGCCCTGATTCCCCTGTGCAAGAGCATCATCAAGGACTTTGTCGCGCTCGAGGAGGACAGCCAGCACCGCAACATCGTCGCCTGGCGCCCCGTCGTCGTCGACGTTCTCGAGGGGTACGCCGCATTCCCCGTGACCTCGTTTTCGAAGAACATTAAGGAGTTCTACCCGATGGTCGTGGAGCTTCTCGGCAAAGACCTGACGTCGGATCTGCGGACTGCGCTGCTGCTGGTGCTCCGCCGCGTCGGCGAGGTCGGTTTGGGTATTGAGGGGATGACCAAGGTGGACGTGGACCGCAGGGACAGCATCCTAAGCCACGCGACGGACGTGGACGGGCCCGAGGGAGACGCGTCGGCCAGGATGAGGCGTTGAGTAGGAGGTTCAGCATACAAAAACCATGTGTAGCACAGGACGAGGCGTAATGGATAGATTGAGGGGGAATCATTTCATGTAAAATTATTGTACCCGGCTCGGATTGCCGAGGCCTTTCGCAGTTCGTGTCCATATTGAAGACGTCCATCCATGCTTGTCCCAGACCAGTGCCATGCTTCCCAAACGCCATGCCATTTTTGTACAGTTACGCTGCTCAGCCGCGTGCGGACATGATATCCCGGATGAACGTCCTCAACTGCTCCGACTCCTCGGGCACAGTCCGATCCGGCAGACTCCTCAATGCCTCCTTCAGCATCTGATCGTCTTTGCTCGCCTGCCGCACCAAATCCCGAAGGATCCCCATCGTCCGGTGCGACTGCTCCGCCACCCTCATGACACTCACCAGCGTCTCGAAGAAGTCAATCAGGCTCAGGTGCATCAGCGTATCCTCCATATCTACCATCTTCAGCGCCGCGAGCTGCAGCAGCCCCACGTCGTTGGACCCCGTCAGCTCGGGGAACTGCGACGTGCCGACCTCGACGATGTTCAAGCTCGCGAGCCGCGGGAGGACGCGCAGAATGCGGCCCTGGGCGAGGGACAGCTGGTGCTCGGACAGCTTCACGTCTTCGGCGGGGTCTTCGCCGCGGGCGAGGGAGAGCACGAGGCCGAAGGGATCGCGGTCGTGGAAGAGGCGGCGCCACATCCTTCCCTGGCCCGGCGCGCGTCGGCGGACGAGGTCGGTGCCAGATAGATGCGGGAGGGCGGCGGGCGGGGGCAGTTCGCAGTCTGTCTCGAGGAGGTCGCCGATGACGTGGGAGGCCTTCTCGCCGACCTCGACCTGTGGGGAGGAGAGCCAGCGGCGGAGGAGCTCGAGGACGACTTTGGGCATGAGGGAGAGGATGGCGGCGTCGGAGGGGGTGGCGGCGGCCTTTTCGAGGATGGCGAGGGCGAGGAGGTTGGCGGAGGGGGCGGGGGAGCGCAGGGCGGAGATGAGGGAGGATTCGTCTGCGAGCTGGAGGGTTTGGGTGAAGGGGACGGGGGAGAGGAGTTTTATTGTGAGGGAGACGATGGGGGCGGGGTCGTGGGGGGTTGTTTTGAGGATTGTTGTGAGTTTTGGGAGGAGGGTTGGGAGGAGGGGCGGGATGTTTGAGTCTGTGGCGTTGTTAGCATTTATAAGATAGACAAGGAGAAGTAGGGAAGAAGAGAACTGACCTGTGAGTTGGAGCTCAATGTCGTCGAGGATCTTCGGTTGGAGGGGCGTTTCGGGGGAGGCGACGAGGTCGTCGAGGTGGGCTGTGAGCTCGTCGAGCCCGGTTATGGGGATTGTGTCGGTTGTCATCTTGGGGACGACGGGGTCTGACATAGAACTTCTGGTGACTGTGGTGCGGCTAGGTCGAGGCGAGAAGTGGAAACGAAGTTGGTGATGTCTGCCAGTTGGAGGAGCTGTTGGAGGTTTGCGGATGGCGGGGGGAGCTGGAAGCTTCCTGCTCGGTTTAAGGGTCCCCGGACGCTAAGATAAGATAAGGCAGCCGCAAGCTGCGTGTGCTGGGTGCGTAGCGCTTGGGTGCCTTACAGGGGTGGCAGTAGCGGGGCAGCGGCGTTCAGCGGGAAGGGTGACGACCCCGCTACGTGCCTACTGGTCCAGCTGTAAATGGCGATCATGGCTTTTTGCACAAGTTGCTCGTCTTTAGTCAACTAATAATGTGACATGGTTGCGTTCTGGTATGAGAGGCCTCTACAGGTAACCTAAAGGTAAGGTAAGGTAAGCTATGCAAGTGACTCACGCATGCCGACTGTCACGGCTGTGTGGGTGAGATCGTCCAAACAAGAATCAGAATGTAGCAGAATCAACTTCGTAAGGCATAGTTGAATTCATTTTAACGCATCTCAGGGCTTTACGACGTCGCTATTATCCAGTTTTTCCATTGCCTGAGCTGAATCTCACAACACCAACGTGGTTCATTGAGCAAGCGTGATGGAGGCTTTCGTCACGTTGAGCAGATGGTTGGTTCTAATAGCAGCCTGTTTACGATTCTACATATACTGTAGAAGGATGAAACCCTGACGTTGTTAACAAAGATTGAATATGTTTTCCAGCATCATTCTATCTTGAAAGCTACTTACACAGATTGTTGTCTGCGGAGAACAGACACGGGAGAGCTGCACCAGCCACCTCAACGAATCACAAGCCACCATTACCCCAATTGACCCCGCTAAAAAATCAAGACGTCCAACTCCAGGTCGGCGCCAACCATGACTGCATCTCCGACTTTGACTCTTTTTCGTTCGACTCATATAACGATCTTGCGGCATTACGCCAAACGACTCTCTGCAACTTCCTTCATATTTTCACCTAGTCAGAACACTTTCCCGCGATCTTACAAGCAACAACAGTACGTCAATCCCATAACTGCACAGGCTGCAAAACTTCAGCCGCGGCACGCGAGCGAAGCGAGGCTAAACCGCCAACCACCTTGGCGCAATCCCAGCAGCCACCTCTACAGCACACAATCCCTAACAACCGCCCACATAGAACCCTCAAGAAAGCACACATACGATACAACCGAGGACCATGTCGCGCGGTGGACGAGGCGGAGGACGAGGCGGCCGCGGCGGCAAGACGGGCCCCCAACTCTCCTGGGACAACGGCGAACACGCACCCGACACCCGCCCCTCGGAGCTCTTTCCCGTACGTCTCCTCCTCCCTTTCCCATAGTTCCCAGCCAATCTAACATTCCCAACACAGCAATACGCCGTCCCGACAGCGAAGCCCCTCTCCGCCCTCGAACAAGCCAACGTCAACGCTTTCCTCCTCTTCCGCCGCCAGGTCCAGGACGGACCTCTCTACACCCGCAAGCGCACCTGGGGCATGGACCCGTCCAACACGCGCAAGCTCTACGGGCAGGACCAGGTGAACGCAAAGTACGGCGTGCGAACGCGCGCCACCGCGGACCCCTTCACGGGCGTGCCGACGTACTCCCAAAAGTTCGCCCGCCCGGAGCGCGCGCTGCCCGAGTTCGGCTCGCGGCCGTTCTGCAAGGAGTTCTTCCCCGCGGAGCTGCACGCGACGCTCGACGGCGACGACGTCGCGCCCGGCGAGAAGCGCCGCGGCGGCGAGGCGAAGCGGCTGCGGCTGTCGCGCATCACGGCGCTGCCGACGGCCGAGGACGTATTCCAAGTCGAGGAGCCCGCGGCGGGGCCGGACGGCGCGAAGAAGACGCTCGAGGCGCTGGAGAGGATGCCGGACGCCGAGGGTGCGGAGGGCGAGGAGGAGTGGGAGGAGGGCGGCGAGGAGGAGGAGCAGGATGTGGAGTACGACGACGAGGATGCGGGTGACTACGACGCGGAGAATTACTTTGACGACGGGGAGTTTGGGGACGACGATGGTGGGGATGATGACCATGGTGGCCGCGAAGGGTCGTATTGATCATGGCGAGAGAGAGACGGTGTCATTTTTTGAAGGAACGGAGGGGGTAGCGAAGGCGGAAGGATCTGCAGAGACTTTGCCTACCTCACGAGGAATGAGGATTAGCATATCAGGCGTTGGGCGGATGAACGGCTTTGCTGAGCGGACAGCTCCCAGATACCCATCATATACAACAGACACAAGAGCATTGCATTTCACACATCGAGACTGGACAAATTGGTGAGTCAGGGGTATCTGACATTGGGTATCAACGACCTGTGCCGCCATGTTCTATGTACTTTACAACATCACACTCCACGACCATCACGAAGCGCTCTTCTGGCGCCGTAGCTGCGACATTGCCCTATCTTTAGGCTCCAATCTTGACGCCATTCTGGCCGAGGGAATGCCGCCGCTAATTGAATGCTACGGGAGCCAAGGTCAGCGGTAGCTCGGAGCCGAATTTTGTGCACGAAGCTCGCTCGATTCTGCCATGCTGCCGGTGTATACTTTTTAGCCATCCTGAACGCCGTATGCTTCCCACATCCCTTGTGCCAAGCGTCACGCCCCTCGGCCCAAGCCTCGTCATTACTCTAGTCCAACGCTATCGAATCTCGTCACTTGGTGGGGTACTGGCGCTGAAGCTGGGTCAGCTTTTCGCGTACATCCACAATGCCGCCTGCCGCCTCGTAAATCTTGTCACCCATCATCTTGATCGTCTCCAAAAGGTCGAGGACCATATTGAACGCGGGAACCTGCGTCTGGTCGCGCAGAGCTCGCACCCGCTCGTAGAGGCCGTGCTCGACACCTGGCATGTGTTGCTCCATCTCTTTGATCTTTTGCACCTGGAACTGGTGCAGCTCCTTTAGCCTGTCGGCCTCATTCGAGAACAAGGTGAGGACGTCCTCCAGGTTGCGGTCCTGATTGCCGTTCGGCGCGTTACTGCCGGTTCCGCCGCGGGTGAGCCACGTCTGGTGGTAGTGCGCAGGGAGCTTAAGCTGGTCGGCGCCAGCAAATGCCATCTTTGCGATGTCGGCATCCGACTTGACGAGATCCTTCAGGTGCGCCAGGGTGACAATGTCCTCGTCCAGGGTCGTCTTGACGCCCTCGTACTTGCGCTGCAGCCAGGTGACATCGTTGGTGAGCTGAGCAAGATCGCCGCCATGGGCCGCCATGAAACCCCTGATCTCGGACGCGTGGTTCATGAAGCGCTGGATCATGGTGTCGCAGTTCTCCATCTCGGTCTGCAGGGACTGCTCGAGGTCGTTGAAACGGGTCGTGCCCTTGACGTTCGAAAGGTCCACCCTTACACCGGGAACGGTTTGCTGCGTGGTCGACTGACCCATAGTCAGGCCGGGAGCTGTGTTGTTCTGTTGCTGGGTTGAAGCGCCGCCGCCACTTTGAGATGTTAGCATGAGCCACGGAGAGATTGATAAAATCACTTACAAAAGACCTCCAGGCTTGGCTTGGCTGGGGGCAAGACTCGAGCCGAAGAGGCCGCCGCCACCTTGTTGCGGTGTCTGCTGCGCCTGTGTGTTTGTGTTTCCGCCGCCGAAAAGTCCTGATGATTGCTGCTGGGTCGTTGACAGCGACTGGCCAAAGAGACCACCTCCCGCTGGCTTCTGCTGGGCCGCCCCGAACAGTCCTCCGCCCTGTTGAGGCTGCTGCTGGCCCGTCTGCTGCGCTGGTGTCTGGTTTCCAAACAGTCCTCCACCCGTAGTGCCCGTCTGGGCTGTGGTATTCGCTGCCTGACCGAAAAGCCCTCCCGTTTGCTGGGGCTGGGCCTGGGGTGTTGCTGTTGTCGCTCCGCCGAAGAGACCTCCGGCCTGTTGCTGGGGCTGAGCAGCTGTGGTAGATGCACCAAACAGACCGCCAGTCGCGGGTGTTGATGGCTTGTTGCCGAACAGTCCTCCGCTTGCAGCTCCAGTCTGGGTTCCGCCAAAGAGACCGCTGCTCGTAGCAGGTTGTGTCGTGGCCGCTGCGTTTCCAAAGAGTCCTCCACCAGCTGCGGGAGTCGACGAAGGGCCGGCGCTGTAGCAGAACATTTTTAGCAAGATTTCGAGGTACAATCCAAGGGCAAGACTCGGGTTCGGCAATGCAGTGACCCGAAAGAGGGCAAAACGTACGCAGCATTGGCAGCACCAGTGTTGATGCTCAAGCCACCGCCAGTTTTCGCACCGAACAGCGACATGTTGGCGGTCGAGTTCTCTGGTACAGTAGAGCCAGTAGTATTATCGTTTGCGATCGAGATGAAAGGCAAGGCCGAGGTCGTGTTCGAGGTGAAAGCCGGGGTAGGGTGAGGCTGATGGCCGTGGACTTGAGCTCCTGGATTGTTTGTGGCTGCTTCTTGTGCTGGCTGCTGTTGCTGCTGCTGCTGTCGCTGCGCGGTCAACGCGAAAGAAGAATTGGCGGCAAGGACTGAAGGGCACGGGCCACCTGCAGCTTTCTGGGCTGCTGCTGCCTTTGCCAGCGTGGATTGCGACCGCCTGGGATTGGCTATTCGGCGTTCTGAGATGCCGCCTCCGGGGTTCCACACCGAAGCTGCTAGACCGGGGCGCTGATTGGGCAATGCTGACTGCACCTGCTGCTGTTGCTGCTGCTGCTGTTGATGGCCCGTGCCTTCCATCTGGATGTCCTGGGAAGCTGCTGCCGCTGCTGTTGCTCCTGCTGCGAAAGGCGTCGTTGTGAAGCCTCGACCGAAAACACCACCACCACCACCACCGCCGTTCCCACCACCAGTTCCAAACGTAGAGCCGTTCATCGAAGTCGCGAAAATGGATATCGACGAGGATGATGACTTTTACGCGCCCGAGGAGCCGACTGTTCCTGCGCCTGCGCCTGCGACCGAAAATGCTGCTGCAACCAAGGCGCCGTCGCCAAAAGTAGAGTCCAAAAATGACGAGTTGGAGGAGGGTGAGGAAGAGGACGAGGGCGGAGCCATGGACGAAGACGATGATGAAGATTCCGTAAGCTTCTGCCTGCACCTCAGGTCGCTCTGTGTATTTGTAGGCCGCCCGTGTATAAGCCAGTGACTGACTGTTCTGGCGCTTTCCTCAGGATATCGACATCATCACCGAGCGCAAAGACGGCACAAAGGCTGCACCCCCAACGTACGTCTCAACAACCACTCACCAGCACGAAGTAAAAGACTTCTTTGAAGCTCATGAAACCACAGACAATCGCGATACAGCGACATCAGAAACATTCCACAAAGGTCTGCCTCCAACGACATGCCCGTCAAGGCCGCCCCAGCGAAGGAAGAGTCGCCAACTGCCTCTGACCTTCCTCTGGGCATCCCCAGTGCCGACAAGGCTGCCGCTGCCGCTTCCAAGTCCACGGTAGACGTCAACGCGAACCCTCCCTACCCTCCTGCGGGCAAGCCTATCACCGCCGTCAACATTGACGAGGGTAAGCACGACTCGCCCTGCGCTTCCCATCGCACCCAGCTAACCTTTACAGACCTCCCCGAAAACGAGAAGCCCTGGCGCAAGCCCGGTACGGATATCAGTGATTACTTCAACTACGGCTTCGACGAGTTCACCTGGGCCCTCTACGCCGCCAAGCAAGAGGCTGTCCGCGGAGAGTACAACGCCGACGCTATCGCCGCCGGCAACAAGAAGATGATGGAGGACTTTGGCATGATGATGATGGGCGGCATGAACATGCCCGGTGGAGGAGCTGGCGCCCAGCAGGCCCAGGCAGCTGGTATGGGAGGTATGCCTGGTGGCGGCATGGACGGCATGCCCCCCGAGATGCAGGCCATGATGCAGCAGATGATGGGCCAGGGCATGGACCCCAGCCAGATGGACCCCGCCACCATGTCTGCCATGTTTTCCCAAGGCGCCAACGCCGGCGGCCAAGCGGGCCAGCAACAGAACTTTGGCCAGGGCGGCTTTGGAGGAAACCAGGGCCAGTACGGCGGCTACGACCAGTCGGGCATGGGTGGCAACCGCGGCGGCTTCGGCGGCAGGGGCCGTGGTGGACGTCGCCAATGGTAAACATCAAAAAAGCTTGCTCTTCGTATGTGCTGGCGGTTGTCCGGCCCGGCTGGCGTTTTCGGGATAATGGTGAGGTCGCAAAATGGTTTGCTTTAGGGTTTCTGGATTGGCCACGGAATTGGCTCAAGCAGGCATAGAGATACCCTGACAATTGATCTGGCATTTCTACCACTGGCAAGCTGTTTTGCTAGATCTCAGTGACATACAGGCAGATTGGGCCGTTTGGTGGGGACAGATGCTCATTGCTGCTTCCCGTTTTCTGCCCAAACGTTTGCGATTTGTTTCTCGCGGAGCTTGCATGAAGGCCCAAACACGTTTTCCTCGCGTACATTTTGTCATTTGCGTTTGCCGTGTTTCCAATCACTGCATTCCCTATCTCTCCTGCCACCTTGTGATCTCCTACCCAAACATCTCTCCATGATGCTGTGCCCGCCGTTGACCATGCCAACGAATGGCTTAAAAAGCCGCCCATCTTTCTCTGTCGTCTCCTTCAAATCAATCACCTTCATCATCGTATCTTCCACTACCGGGGCTGGGGCATGGGCTTCTTTACCGTATCCCCGGGCCCTCCCCCGCGTCCCAGCATGCAAGTCCTCATAGGCCATGTCGACGAAAGGCTTTAAAGGCCACCAACCGTCCTTAGTCTTCTCGCTCAAGTCAATCAATGTCGTCATCGCATCTTCTGCTACCGAGGCGGAGGCATGAGCCTCTTCACCAGATCCCCGGGCCCTCAGCCATGCAGCCTGCAGGTACTCATAGATGATACCTAGGCTATGTGTGGATTAGCAAACGCATCGCTGTGCGGGGCCGTTATTCTACTATCATTATGTCCTTCGGGTGTTGGGTCGGAGAAATTGAGCCATGGTGTTGGCGTTCCGCCAGAAGATACCAACTGTAATCTTCGTACCTTGGTTTACCATGGGCCCTCGCAGTTCTGGCGGATGCCAATTCCAACTCGAATCACATCGTCTGTGAGACAGACGCCTCTCGAACATTGGCGCCCTGCTCGAAGACCAGATGACT